AAAGAGATTGTCAAGATGTTTTCAAGTGTTTTAAAATGTGTATCAAGATCTGTTATGTCTATATTTATATCATTCCCATTTTTAATCAGATGACTGTGGACCCTGTAATTATAGAAAATATTGACTGTATATAATGTCACTGCCGCAAAAACTGGTTATAATATCTAAGAGACTTTGTGATATTGACATCATAAATGCCCTAGCTTTATTTGACTTGCAAGAACCACAGATATCTGATTAAAACTAGTAGTGCAAATAGATGCTATCAGTGACCCTGATACACATTAAAAAGTTAAGAAAAAACTACATTCACTTTATAAAAACCCCCAAAAAAGGGAGTCAATCGGGTAAATGAACGCATTCTTCAAAATGTATTGTATTTTCATTTGATGCTGTGGAAAGTTTTTTTTTGGCTGCTTTTTTTTGAAACTGAAGACAGACTGTTATTCAGTGTTAAAAGGGTTAAAACCTTCAGTGAAAATTGTTGTTAGTTGTTAGTTGTCTAGGCCCTTATTCTTGAAAACTTGAGATAAATTTAAGAATTTGAAAAATAAAATTATCTGATTGGATAATAAAAACTGATATTGAATTTGGTTTAACTGAAGTTTTGAAACCCTAAAATCATCTTAACTTCAGTTTTTGAGAAAATGGCTCCAAGTGGCATTCAACATCTGGTACTTTCAGCTCTTTTAGCATTCTATTAAGTTCACTCCCTCCCCCTGTCATGATTATATTATAGAACTATATATAGAATGATTATAGATATAGTTTATATAGGTCAAGACTATTTATGCACGTGCATGGATGCTATCAAACATGTGCTCTATGGTAGTTATATATATTATAAGATGTAGTCTGGCTTATAGATTGATTTATTTCCTCATATAACAGTTTATTAGCAGCTACCAATATATTGCCAATATGTTGTTTTGGATTTCGTGTTTCGTTTCGCAGTTTGTATTTATTGCGGGAGATATTTAAGTAAATATACTTCACTGCGTTTGTTGTGTTTTTAGTGGGTTTTTTTTATCGCATAATAACTTTTGGAATTTGTCTTCAAGTTCCTAAAAACAGTGAAAAATTTTGATTACGCTTACTTCAAAAATTAAATTGTGACAAATAAAAAATAAGGGCCTTGAAAATTTGCAAAATAATAATAATAAAAAACATAGATGTCTGATATAAAGAGTGGATGGGAACCTGTTTTAAAACGAAGAATGCATGAACAAATCTGACTGTGCTTGTATAATGAATCTTTGTAATATAAAGTTTTTTCTATCAACATATGAATATGGATGAACGGGGGATAAAGGTGCATAAAAAAGTTATGTTAAATATTTTGCAATTATGTAAATCCTGTGGAGTGATAAATTTTAATGTCGTTTCTATTAAGAACCGTGCAATCTTTCCAGTGGGTGATTATGATTAAAGGATTGTAAAGAAATTTTTTGAAGCAGAAAGCTATTAAATATATCATTGGGTTTATTAGATTATTATTGGGGGGTTTTGACTGTAGGGCGTGCATGTTTTCAGGGTGCCTTAAGTCTACACTTCATTTAATAATGATATTCTTAAACTACTGTGTGTCAGATGAGACGATAAGACGTTATTTTGTAGTTTTTTTTCAAAAATGAATTAAAATTTTGTATATATTATATGAGTAGAAAGGAGAAACTGACGTAAATGCGATGACTCAATACCTGGTATAATCATAAACATAACACACACATATTTGGGAGAAAAATGAAATTTTCATAAAAATTTATGAAAGGGAGTATTTTAGTTTTAAAGTAAAAACTTAAACCAGGAACTGACTCAAAATCTTACTTTTAGTCCAAAGAGACTTAATGAATAACAATTTTAATTTAACTCAAAATATCGAATAGGGACGCAGGCTGAAAATAGGTCCGTTGTCTGAAGATTGCATAGCATGAAAGCTGAAACGATAAGTAGACATAAAACAAACAAGGAGGAAATGAACGACAATATCAAATGTTATTAAGAAGCCACATATCGTCAGCCTTCTATAATAATTGCCTAATTCATTATTTTGAAAATGAAAATTGATGTTTTGGCTCAAGTCATTTCCCCTGTAACACCATGTATAAGCTGCATAATTTCCCAAGTCATTTTGTGCTGAACTTATCATAGCAGGCGGTCGATTTGTTGGCTATAAAGAGTTATAATTTTTTACAATATTTTTCAGATGCAAATCGTATAGATGTTAGTCAAGGATTGTCCAGTACAATCTTCATTGGCAACATGGAGTCAATAACAGCCAATGGTTGGTGGGCGAATTACGAACCTAAAATTCAAAATGGTGAATGCGTCGCAGTTGAAAGAGATGGAGATAGATTTAAATGGGCTTTTGGCTCTTGTCAAGAGAAAAATACTTTCGTGTGTCGCAGAAAAGTCTGTTCTGAAGGTAAATAAGCACCGGCCATACCTTTCTTGTCCGGGTGGACTTTTCGTATGATTAAACTTCAGTAATGAAAGATGTATTTAGTATGATTTAACTTGTATTTCAGGATCGTTTCACTGTAGTAATGAAAGATGTATTAAGTATGATTTAACTTGTATTTCAGGATCGTTTCACTGTAGTAATGAAAGATGTATTTAGTATGATTTAACTTGTATTTCAGGATCGTTTCACTGTAGTAATGAAAGATGTATTTAGTATGATTTAACTTGTATTTCAGGATCGTTTCACTGTAGTAATGAAAGATGTATTTAGTATGATTTAACTTGTATTTCAGGATCGTTTCACTGTAGTAATGAAAGATGTATTTAGTATGATTTAACTTGTATTTCAGGATCGTTTCACTGTAGTAATGAAAGATGTATTTAGTATGATTTAACTTGTATTTCAGTATTTCAGGATCGTTTCACTGTAGTAATGAAAGATGTATTTAGTATGATTTAACTTGTATTTCAGGATCGTTTCACTGTAGTAATGAAAGATGTATTTAGTATGATTTAACTTGTATTTCAGGATCGTTTCACTGTAGTAATGAAAGATGTATTTAGTATGATTTAACTTGTATTTCAGGATCGTTTCACTGTAGTAATGAAAGATGTATTTAGTATGATTTAACTTGTATTTCAGGATCGTTTCACTGTAGTAATGAAAGATGTATTTAGTATGATTTAACTTGTATTTCAGGATCGTTTCACTGTAGTAATGAAAGATGTATTAAGTATGATTTAACTTGTGATGGAGAAGATGATTGCGGTGATATGTCCGATGAACTCAATTGTAGTACGTATTGTTTTTACTGTTTATAGAAGCAAGGGTGGTGTTTCTATGTATCATTAGGTTAGGGGCCAAGTAGGGTCAAAGTAAGGTCCAAGTAGGGGCAAAATAAGGGCCAAATCGGGTCCAGTAAGGGCCTAGTTGGGTCCAAGTAGGGTCCAAGTAAGGGCCTAGTAGGGGCCAAGTAAGGGGCCTTGTAGTGGCCATGTAGAGGTCATGTAGGAGAGGGCCAAGAAGGGGCCAAGTAGAGGCCACAGAATTGCCAAGTAAGGGTTCTCAGACAATTTTTTCCTTTATGAAATAATAAGAAATTTCAAAGTGAGCTGACAATAACTTAAAGAGCCGACAAAATTGGCAATACAAACAAAACACATTTTTTGTTGAACACTGGGAGAAAGTTATAACTTATATATTGGAATCGCTGTCATGCACACTTTTTCTTTTAAGATAGTCAAATTCATGATTAGTTAATTAATTAATTAATTAATTCTCATTTCAGGCAATCAATGTGGAAACGTTTTACAAAAAGAATCCGGAGAAATCATGTCAGATAATTTCCCTTCCCCGTATCCCATGAATAAAAACTGTTTTTGGTTAATTGAAGTGCCAGTTACTTACAACGCACATCTGAAGGTTTGTAATTAAATTAAAGGGACTGGTCGATTCGATTTGATCAATCATACTGTACTCTGAAACACGCTAATCAGTAATAGTGTTCATAGTTCACCCTCAAAATTTGAACCTTCAAATCAATTGATGTCCAGAATTATCCGTGTTTGAAAGCTAAAATGATGACTGGTCTTTATTTGAGATTCTGCCATATTGGACAATAAACTGATTCCCCATGTTCTACAGACTGATTATATTATTATTTGATATTTTAGTTTAGTAATTTTATCACTGAAGAAGGGCTAGATAAGGTACAGGTGTTTGTTGGAGGAATGACAGAATCTACCTCCAAACTGGTGGCCACGCTTTCTGGTGATATGACAAGTAAATTGCCTGAATTCACCAGTCCTAACAACTTTATCCTTGTAAAGTTCTCTTCCGATGCCTCTACAGCTGCTGCAGGATTCAAGGCTATGTTTTCAGCCAGTAAGTAGTTCAACCATGTTTTTATATTTTTTCTGAAATGATTAAGTTCTATATTAGCATGATTCATTTATTTCGCTTTGGACCCATCTTAAAAAACTAAAATCTTACAATCAATTTGTCCAGCGTTTCTAAAATTCCACAGTTCCAAGAGATTTATGGTCTGATTTCGGATCATGGACAATGTTCTCAATGAGATTTGAAATTTTCTTGTAGAAAAAGAGATGTTCCCATTGATGAAAATGTTGACAGCAACATCCAGTTACCAAACGTTGACTGCACCTTCCTATCCTAATAATTACTTGGGAAATCAAGACTACACATGGATAATCGCCGCCGAACAACGAACGAGCATCGTCACTTTACAGGTCAGGGTTAAATTCTACTGTTTGAATGTTTGAGGTCAATGTTTCTCAGTTTCCATGGTAATCAAAGGATATTTGAGCAAAAATACCTAAAATAAATATTTGACAATTCCATTAATCAAAATCTCTCCCAAGTATGATAAAATTGAGAGTAGAAGTTGTATAGTAGTGTAACTCCCCAATTATTAATTATCTTATTCATCATGTATTTTGTAGATTGAGGAAGTAGATCTAAAGGATGATGACGTGGTAGTTGTCCGAGATGGCGAAGATGTAACAAGCGAAGAACTTCTAAAATTGACATCCAGCAATGAAATAACATCTCCATTCATCTTTTCATCCAAACCTAAACTGTACATCACCCTGCAGACTCGTGGCTACAATACTGGCAAAGGTTTTAAACTTCAGTACAAACAAGGTGGGTTTAAACACAATCTCAAAAACAGAACAAACGTAAAACTCTGTTTATTTCTTTTCAAAAACTGATGTCAAACGTAAATATTCATATTTTTCATTTAAAAAGCCGACGTCAAATGTAAAACTCCTTTCATTTCATGTTGAAGACTAGGGCCCAGGAGTCTTTGCTTTCAGTTGTGTAATGGACTAATTTCTGTACCTTGTAATTATTGTAGGATGTTCGATTGAATTTGTAGCTAGTCAGGGTATGATTCTCTCCCCTGGTTTTAACGCGGGTCAATACCCAAATTACGCCAATTGTGATTGGTTGATTAAAGAAAAAGAGGGTAAACCAATGACACTTTCGTTTATTTCGTTCGATATCCAGACTTCGGGAGATTCTTTGAAGGTAGGTCTAATTATGATTGCTTATCAGCTGGTAAAGTAAATATTTAGAAGACTGTACAGATAGCTGAGACTGAGCTCTATCAGCTGGTAAAGTAAATATTTAGATGACTATATAGATAGCTGATATTGAGCTCTATCAGCTGGTAAAGTAAATATTTAGATGACTATACAGATAGCTGATATTGAGCTCTATCAGCTGGTAAAGTAAATATTTAGATGACTATACAGATAGCTGATATTGAGCTCTATCAGCTGGTAAAGTAAATATTTAGAAGACTATACAGATAGCTGATATTGAGCTCTATCAGCTGGTAAAGTAAATATTTAGATGACTATACAGATAGCTGATATTGAGCTCTATCAGCTGGTAAAGTAAATATTTAGATGACTATACAGATAGCTGAAATTGAGTTCCATCAGCTAGTAAAGTATATATTTAGATGATATACAGATAGCTGATATTGAGCTCTATCAGCTGGTAAAGTAAATATTTAGAAGACTATACAGATAGCTGAAATTGAGCTCTATCAGCTGGTAAAATAAATATTTAGATGACTATACAAATAGCTGATATTAAGCTCTATCAGCTAGTAAAGTAAATATTTAGAAGACTATACAGATAGCTGAAATTGAGCTGTATTAGCTGGTAAAGTAAATATTTAGATGATTATACAGATAGCTTAAATTGAGCTGTATTAGCTGGTAAAGTAAATATTTAGAAGACTATACAGATAGCTGATATTGAGCTCTATCAACTGGTAAAGTAAATATTTAGAAGAATATACAGATAGCTGATATTGAGCGAATATACAGATAGCTGATATTGAGCTCTATCAGCTGGTAAAGTAAATATTTAGAAGAATATACAGATAGCTGATATTGAGCTCTATCAGCTGGTAAAGTAAATATTTAGATGACTATACAGATAGCTGAAATTGAGCTCTATCAGCTGGTATAGTAAATATTTAGAAGAATATACAGATAGCTGAAATTGAGCTCTATCAGCTGGTATAGTAAATATTTAGAAGAATATACAGATAGCTGATATTGAGCTCTATCAGTAGATAAAGTAAATATTTAGATGACTATACAGATAGCTGAAATTGAGCTCTATCAGCTGGTAAAGTAAATATTTAGAAGAATATACAGATAGCTGATATTGAGCTCTATCAGCTGGTAAAGTAAATATTTAGAAGAATATACAGATAGCTGATATTGAGCTCTATCAGCTGGTAAAGTAAATATTTAGAAGAATATACAGATAGCTGATATTGAGCTCTATCAGCTGGTAAAGTAAATATTTAGAAGAATATACAGATAGCTGATATTGAGCTCTATCAGTAGATAAAGCCAATATAAGATGACTTGATGCTTTAGATTTATAAGACTTCTTTCTGGATTTTAAAACCATTAGATTTTATATGCAAATTTTATGAATTCTGTTGCAGGTTTATAATGGAACTAGTTCTTCAAGTGAATTGATCGGAGATTATAAAGGCAATTATATTGGTGCATCTTTACCTAGCATCTTAGCTGATACAGGCACTTTGTTCCTAACCTTTACTTCAGACAGTACTGGTTCTAAGAAGGGATTCCATCTTGAATTTTCTGTAGGTAAGTGTCAAAAAAGGTTTTTTTCTTGTGTATGGAAATAAAATGTGCTTACTCTTTTTAACTCTTTTGGAAACACCTGATGGTACTTCTCAATTGAGGAGTCCACTACAATACAACTTTTACTCCCAATTTTGTCACCCTTTTGCCAAGATATTTGGTTAACAATTTGTTTTTCTTGTACAGCTTTTGATAAATACTAAATTTTGGAGTTTGAATCTGAAAATTGTAAATTAAATGATTAAAATTAGTTTTAGTGGTAAAAGTTAGGTTCAAGAGACATTCCGCTTTTTTGGTTGGTCGAAAATTTATTTTGCTTTTTGCTCCAATGTGTGAAAACTGTACACAATCCAAAAGTATCTCAAAACATTGGTAAGGTTTTTAAGTTCGTTATGCTTATTCTAAAGCTATTTGAAAACCATACAGATTTGAGTACAATAAACACCTAATTATAGAGAAATCAGTTTGATCAAGAAGATATATAGATGTAAATAGCATACTTTAGAAATATTTTCAGGTGTAATTTATGATGTTTTTGATAATGAAAACTTTTTCACAATAGAGCGGAATACACCTTTAAATAGCCTAATCAGGTGGAGAAAAGTAGGATATAAAACTCTATTTATTGTGTTTCATTTTTCTAGATTGTCCGGCGCCAAATTTCAATTCATTTACGAAGACAATGCCTGCCTCCCCATCAAACAGCCCTGGTTCTGAATTTGAAGTGGAATGTGTGACAGGCTACCACTTGGCTGCAGAAGAATTTCAGGATCCTCTTGTTACAGATAAGTTCCAGGCCAGACAGAAAATCACAATGAAGTGCAGCAGGGGAGGAAAATGGAACACCTTAAGAATGCCTACTTGTGAACGTAAGTTGTATTCTGCTGTATATGCTTGAGTATGGTATGTTCCAGTCCTGTACACTTCAGATTCATCTTGCCAATGACGTCAATTCCTTACTATAAAGTTATACTGACTGCGGAGAGAGATTCAATCATCGCGATAAATTTCAATTTTGGCTAGTTTTAGGAGGAGATACTGGATTGTAAAAAGGGTCATTTTGACTGGCAAACTGCTTTGAAATGAATCCTGCATGCTGCTTAATGGCACTGTGCATATTGAATTGCATGATGATAATTCACCTTACGCATAATGTTTCTAGATTCCACTTCATTTCATTCCAATTTTAGATCCAACTATAAAAATGTTATTTTGATTTTATTTTAGCCAAGTATTGTGGGATAGCACCAGAGTTACCTAACGGGTACACTGTTAGCTCAACAGGTGTCACTTTTGGAATGTCAGTCACCTATAACTGTATAAGTGGATATAGTTTTAAAGAAACAGCTAAAACTAGTGTAGAATGTCTAGTCTCTGGACAATGGGGTGACATGCCTGTTTGTGAAGGTAAGACGTCTTTGATTGGAAAACAAACAAAATATTTGAATTCTTGTTGTTTTGGCCAGAGCCCACTTCTTTCTGATGAAATGTTTCTGATATACAATCTTCATCAGGACAGCTAGTATTTTTTTCATGTATCCAGAGCTAAGTTAGCAAGAGAGTGGAATAGACAATTGAAAAACCAAATATTTGAATTCTTCGTTAATGACATCGTTACAGTGACACAATAAACCAAGACCCCGAATGCTGCAGGCTGGTCACGTTATTGATTCCTCGGGTGATAAAAATTGAAAAAGAGCAGTCTTATGCCACTGTCCTTGCAAAAATTCATTGGTCCAATTAGGTGTTGCAGTGTAGCATGTAAAACTCGATTCATTTCATTTTCTTTATTTTCTTTAGCTTTATTCTAATATTCAATCTTTATTAGGTCAAATAGTTTTGAAAAAGAGGTTTTTGTGAAAAGTAATGGATGGTATTAGGTAGTTGATCTTGCCTCCTATGTCCAGATGTATATATATATATATGTGTATTTTCAGCCACTCAATGTATAACACCTACATTAGCACCAAATTCACATTTGACAAAAACAGAGAAATCCACTCCATACGGGGCAGGTGTATTCTTTTCCTGTGACCCAGGGTATGATTTGATTGGTGCCCCTAAGTCCTACTGTGGTCCTAACGGCCAGTACACTGCTCCAGTCCCGACTTGTAAAGGTATGTTTAGTTATTATTATAGCCATCAGAGATTTATGATTTGCTATCAAGAATGATGATCCATATTTAGCTATCTGTGTCCCATATTAAATTGAAAGACCAGTTTGTGAATGATTAAATGACAAGATACTAACAGAAGTTAGTTTTAAGTTTCATTAGTTTGAAGCTTCATTTATTCATTTTCAGCTATTGTTTGTGTTGTGCCCCCTATTATGAATGGTGCCGTCGACAACAAAGACCCTGCTGAATTTCAAATATCCAGAACATTTACTTGTAACCAAGGTTATACATTAAGTGGTACAGGTTCTGTGTCATGCGGTGCAGATGGAAATTTTGTAGGACTTCCTTCCTGTAGTGGTAAGAACTATTTGAATACGTCATCATCATTAAAACACATCCCAAACTATGACATGTTTCTTCCGTGTTTCACTTTAGTTGGTAGACCCCACTGAGACTGATCTGGTGAATATTCACAATGTCATGTGATTTTAAAATTGGCCAATCAACATGCTTCTTTTTTTAAATTTGAGGACACACAGGGAACTTGTGAATATATATATCAGTACAAGCAACCCATATCATAGGTTGTTTTGATTGATTTATAATTTTTGCAAGCTGTTAGAAAACTACTGTATGGATTTTTGTAAAATAAACGCCTAATTGAAGAAAAATATGTCTCCTATGTTTTCTAAAGATTTCAACTGAATATAAAAATGAATCCTAAGCCATTTAATTTGACTGTATTATCACTAATGTTGAACCCTGTCTGGGACAATTTTAATAGGACTAAAAAACACAGTGAACAATTTTGCTTGGCTGTGGAGTTTTCACTGTTAAATTTGTTTTCTGATTCAACGTTTTTTTTCATGGTATTTTCAGATGTTAACGAATGTAACACTGCAAACGGAGGATGTAATCAACAATGTGAGAATATGGAGGGATCGTTCAAGTGCTCCTGTAATGACGGCTACATACTCAATGCTAATAAAAAAACATGTGATGGTAAGGAAATAATTTAATTCTTACTGCAGGGAGTCAGACTGAGTTAGTCAGGGTTAGTTATCTGAAGATCGCATAGCGTGAAACTTTGAGTAACAAAAGAATTAAACTTGTTTAAGATAATATTATACCTTGTACCTTATTTTTGTATGAATATTAATTTAAGAAATATACTATTGTATTGTTGTTTAATTTTTCGGCTAAAAACCTTTTTCAGAAATACTTCAGTAGTTTATGATCACATTTTTTCCGTCTTTCCTTTAATTATATAAAGTTTAGAATAATGAGGATGTTGTCAAATAGTCCGTTACAACGTCATGTTATCTTGGTCACTTTCTAGTCATACTGCTAGTAGTCCCTTCATAAAATAAAAAAAAATCACCATCTAACACTAGGAGTTGTATATTTTGTATTCTAGATATTAAAGAATGCGATGAAAACAAGGGAGGTTGTAGTGACATGTGCTTAGAAATGAAACCAGGATATAAATGTGAATGCAATCCTGGAAGAGAACTATTCACTCAAGATGGTGTCAGCTCATACTCAGTTATGTCCCCTGAAAGTGGATTAAGAGAAGGCGATGTGTTACGTTATAACCATACCTGCGTCAGTAAGTAATTTTAAAACTTAAGTTTTAATTGAGATTTCCCTCATTGCTTACTGAATGGTGTTGCTTATCTTCATTAAACTAATCAAAAACAGAAAATATAATATAAAGCTCTATTTCATTTCACAGGGTGCATCGCATCATTTCATAAGGTCAATAAGAGCCAGAGAAGCAGTACATGATACTAATTTATTACACAAATAGAGCAAGTTTGATGTAAAATTTATTTCATTGCATTAGGCTAATCACAAGCAATACCCAATGAATACAGTAAAATGGGATATCATTTCATTTATTTTCAGATAAACAGTGCCCCACACCAGTGATGACACCAAACTTAATCCTGCTGACAAAGATGTCTGTGTTCCGATTTCAAGATGAAATAGAATTCGCGTGCCCTATTGGGTATATGTTACAGGGCAGCAGTAAATTAACTTGCCAGGTGGGGGCAACATGGAGTGCAGCAGAACCTACTTGTAAAGGTAAAAATTGTTGTGTATAACTGAGAAGCTTTCCATCGTAAATTCCCCTTATTTTAGTGTTTTTCATTTTGTCATCCTTTTAAAATTTGAAGCAACATTTAGAGGTAGAGATTACATTTAATAACAGTACACAGTTTTATGGTATTCTACTCTTGAGTTTTATTGTACACAATGTTTCAACAATTTACATTGTCATCATCACTTTATATGGTATACTACTCCTGAGTTTTATTGTACACAATGTTTCTACAATTTACATTGTCATCATTGACACCATTTTAATGTTACAGCAATCACCTGTGCAGCTACTGTATCAAACGATCTAAAGAACGAACCTGCGTTTAATCCTGAAAACAAAACAGTTGGATACATGGAAATGTTGGCCATGACTTGTACATACGCTGACGGATCAACAAAGATGAAGAAACAGTACTGTCTTTATAACCAAACTACGGACTCGTATAATTTAGAAGGAGATGACTACGAATGTGGAAGTAAGAAAATTGAATACCTTTATCTGATTGGTCAATAATTTAGATATCGATTTAGCAACCAATCAATCATTGTTTTGTTTTAAATTCAACAGCCAATCAGGGTCCTTGTTTTCAGAATTTGTTAAGGGGAGCTCAACTATATGATTAACAAGTCATTCCAGTCATCTTTTTTTTCAATTACCTTTTGTCCCCCTTGACACACCCTCCTCCCACCCCCTGCTCCCTCTGCTCCCCCTGCTCCCCCTTATTGGTCAATAATATCACTATAGTAACATGAATTAATCAGTGTTCTAGACGTATCAGATATTTTCTACTACTACAATATAATTTTTATTATGACTATTTCAGCTATCGATTGTGGCAAACCACCGAACATTCCTGGTGCCGTGTACGAAGGTTACACAGATGGTGGAAACACGTCCTATGGCGCCACCTATGCCTTTAAATGTGATACATTATATACCATTGTGACCAGTATAGCGAACCCCGACGACAGGGTCATAAACTGTGGAGTTGACAGGAAATGGGATGCTAAAGATATGCGATGTGAAGGTAAAATTTGGGTTTCTGTATCTTGGGGTTAATTTGAGGTCAGATTCGACTATTACTTCATATTGTTATGAAGGGGTTAATTTCAGGCCCTTAAATACCCATAGATTCAATTATTACTTCATATTATTATCTAGGGGTTGATTTCAGGCCCTTTTAAGGAGTAAGGAATATCAACAGAGCCGACTTTGTACTTGAATTCTTATATTTATTCAGCCATTAAATAAAAATACAAATTTTCAGGTATTACATGTGTTGATCCCGGGCGGCCTCTGAATGGATATCAGAATGCTACAAGTTACGAAGAGGGAGAACTTGTGATGTTCGGTTGTTCCTTGGATGGTTACACCCTGGATTCTATTTATCCAATCACATGTATTAAAGATGGAACTGGAAATGGTTTAGAATGGAATAGCACAGTACCAAAGTGTCTGGGTGAGTGTCCTAATAAGGTGTTAAAAAAAATCTCATAAAAATTCGAGAGAGGGCTGTTCTCCATTCAAGGCTATCAAAACAGTTTGAAAACCCATTGAAATTGACTTACTAGTATTCTGTTGACAAAACCAAAGAAACAGTTTGTCATTTTCTTATAGAGAGTTGACAAACTTAAAATAGACCTTTCAAATAAACGTTATTAACTATGTGGACTCTCTGAAAGAGATGTTGTATTGACAAACATGCCTCTCAAATAAACATTATTAGCTATGTGGACTCTCTGAAAGAAATGCTGTGTTGACAAACATGCCTTTCAAATAAACATTATTAGCTATGTGGACTCTCTGAAAGAGATGCTGAGTTGACAAACCTAAATACCAAATACACCTTTTTAGCTATGTGAACGCTCTGAAAGAGATGCTGTGTTGACACACCTAAATACCAAATAAACAATATTAGCTATGTGAACTCTCTGAAAGAGATGCTGAGTTGACAAACCTAAATACCAAATACACCTTTTTAGCTATGTGAACGCTCTGAAAGAGATGCTGTGTTGACACACCTAAATACCAAATAAACAGTATTAGCTATGTGAAAGTAATGCTGTGATAAAAAAAACAATTCATGCTCTGAGTGGGCTGGATGATATGTCATTAATATGTCTTGATTTACATTTCAGATACTCAGAAACCAAAAATCACTGGTTGTCAGGAACTTGAAGTTGATCTTTATTCTTCGGCTGATGTTATCAATATTCCCAACTTTTCCGACAATGGTGGATTAAAATTAATGAAAGTGACGCCATTTTATCCCGCGGCTGACATCATTCTTTCCAGTAAAGATAAATTATTGACGTTTGAATTTGAGGATAATGCAGGCAACAAAGATTCTTGTAATACAAAAATATCCATCAAAGGTAGCCATTTCTTGTTGTTATTTTTAATTACTTGATTTTCATTAGACCAATAAAATACAGAACAGTAGGATATAAAACTCTATTTCATTTCATTACACCATTAAGATACAGAACAGTAGGATATAAAACTCTATTTCATTTCATTAGACCAATAAGATACAGAACAGTAGGATATAAAACTCTATTTCATTACATTAGTCCAATAAGTACAGAACAGTAGGATATAAAACTCTATTTCATTACATTAGTCCAATAAGATACAGAACAGTAGGATATAAAACTCCATTTCATTTCATTACACCAATAAGATACAGAACAGTAGGATGTAAAACTCTATTTCATTTCATTACACCATTAAGATACAGAACAGTAGGATATAAAACTCTATTTCATTTCATTAGACCAATAAGATACAGAACAGTAGGATATAAAACTCTATTTCATTTCATTACACCAATAAGATACAGAGCAGTAGGATGTAAAACTCTATTTCATTTCATTACACCAATAAGTGCAGAACAGTAGGATATAAAACTCTATTTCATTTCATTAGACCAATAAGATACAGAACAGTAGGATATAAAACTCTATTTCATTTCATTA